AACTAAGCATATCTTATAGGTATCGAAATGGAGATCAGTTGTAATCAACTGGCTGTCTTGAATTTACTGCAGTCTAGACTTAACATAACCATCCCTTTGGCACATTAGAGTAACATACATTTGTTGTAACTCAATCTTCTTTGTTGTCTTTTTTAATGTCACCATTCTTTTGTTTTTTTCTTATTACCAGATTTAACAAGTGGCAATCAGGTACACATTTTTACATCAACATTAGTTATTTGAAATTAGGTGCAACAATTTTTTTTTAACTCTAAATGTAAAAATTGTCGCCATTTCTTTTCACCTTCATTGCCAGATGCATCAATACAAAATACTTAAAACACTTAAAAATGTTACTTTCATCTTCATTTCATTTTTGTGCAACCTAGTTAAAAAATAAAAGATGAGGCCTCTGACATGAAGTTAGGTTTTAGTGTGAGAAGGAACATTTTCTTCTAAAACCAACCTAACAATGTCTGAGATCGTGTCACAAGCACCCCGATCAATAATCTAAAATATTTAGAAAGAGTTATAAAAAAGAATTGAAATAATTTCTCAAATGTGACAACCCTGAGACCTGCACCGTGAGAACATTAGATTTAATAGTATTATGTAAATAAATATTGTGTATTTTTTTTACTATCAACATTATATCTATATATATAAAAATGAAGTGCTGTTCGTTAGTCTCACTAAAACTCGAGAACGGCTGAACGGATTTATCTTATCTTAGTCTTGAAATGTTTGTGGAGGTTCAGGGAAGGCTTAAAAGCTGAAAAAAATTGATTTATTTCCGGAAAACCTCTAAAAACAGGCCCTTTTCTATTTCCCTTACAAACAACATTAGATTTGACAACTAACTAATATGTTAATCATTCTGTTCGATTGAAACAGGAAAAAATTTAATAAATACCAATACCTGGTTATTTAAGACGGAATAGAGTTCGCCCGGTCAGTTATACATATATTACTAATGACGAAATTAACGCGGACGAAGTCGCGGGCAAAAACTAGTAACTGATAATAATTTTTCAAGCTGTTTTATATATATTCAATAGATCGGATAAGGAAAATGCAAAACATGTCTAGTCCACTCTTCACATTACTTAAACTTATAATTCTTTAAAAATTTTGTCATTTTATTTGATGTCGACATTTTTTATGACAAATTATATCTCAAAGGACACAATGTCACTGAGATAAAATACATTCAAACAAGTAATTTGATATTGAGGCTATGTTAAAGGAGATATCACGAATGGAGAAAATATTAAACAACACTTTAAACAATTTCGGATGTGTAAAGTTTTAGCAGAGACATAAAATTTCTAAATTGGGGATGATAAGTTTCGTAATGTCACTATTATATAACTTATTTGTTAACCTCTCCGCCACCACGACCTATCATTCACTATAACTTTGTAATAAAGAGCGTCTAATATGAGTAAAAAAAATGTTAACAGTGTCGGTTCATTGTATTATAACATATTCCATAAGAAAGTGATAATGCAAAAACTTGTCATTTGGTTACAATAAAAGTAGAAGCCATTCAAGTGTTGCATTCAAGATATCCAAGGCTTTTAATATATATACATTCTTTGACGTGTAACCACGTGTATCTATAAAAAAAAATATTTTACTAAACAACTCCATTACCGGTGACATTGTATAAAATGTTGAAAACAAATCATTTGTATTAGTTTACAAAATATTGTTATCATATTTTATATCATTAGATTTTTTTTTAATTTGGAACCGTCATATTTAATTGTTCTTTAATTAACATTTCGCTAATTTTAAGGAATTTAGCAATACATAGAGAGAGATAGTGAATTTAGAATTCGACATACATATTAGCTTCCTATCCTACCCCGCCCGATGATGTTGTTAAAGCCATTAGGGCTAACAGTTACAGACCAGTCGAAACTAAAATCTTATCAAGCAAAGAGAGAACAAATTTGAAGTCACTTACCACTTACCATATAATGAGCAGGTTATTCAATTTTATTTATTTGAATCCAATTATATTATTATTTTTGTAACTTTATTACAACAAATAAACAAATTACTAGCATGATTTAAGTACTATGTTTTGTTAGAATTTGAAATTAAATGTATTCATAGCCTTCTATCATAATTTCTCTTCTATTCTGTAAATCAAGGTACGCGGGCGTTTTAGGTTTTCATAAACAAATAAATTAAGCGGAATAAATTCCTCTGTTGTAAGTGATAAACATATTGAAGAGGTAAATAATAATACAAATAATTGAAGTTATCGAGGAAATATAATTCAGTACGTCTTCTCATTACATTGAAATGAAATGCTAGATCATTGTATTTTAATTACAACACTTCATGAAAGAGAAAATTCTAGGAACTAAAGGAAGGACATTAATATTTCAATTTAATTATGAATATGTATTTTTTTCTAGTTAATCATTTTTATTTGCCTTAATGTAAGTTGTGATGTCAATATTACAAAAGTATTGTCAGAGTACAGCAGTTGTTTTAAATTTTAGTTTGAGTTTTGATATTTTTCTAAAAAGAGTTGAGGACTTGTTCACAAGTTAGATTTGGTGAGTTTTTATAGTTTTGAAAAGAAGAAAGAGAAAGGTCATATTTTCAAATATTGTCGCTAAAAATATTTAAAAATATTCGAATATATAAAATATGTAAACGCTATCTTAACATAAAACAGATTATAAAAGCAAATATAAATAAATAAATCATATTTTTTTATAACTTTTCAAAAATGTTCACTCCAAAAAACCTTTTTGGTGAAAGGTTTATTTACAAATGTTTAAGAATACGTGTATTTCTCCTTATATCACCCGGTCAGTAACAGAAGAATTGATAATTTTTATAAACCCAAGGCCAAAACTAAAAATTGAGAGCTATCTTTTATCTGATATATTTTCTTATTCTCTAACACTTCATGACTTACTTTTATATATTTCAAATTTATTTTATGTTAAGGCTTACTTATGATGGTTTAAAAAATTTAAAAAACTTTAATTTTGTTGATCATTATGTAAATACATAAAAATCGACAAACACTGATATAATATTTAGATTGAACATATACTCAAATACAGGTAGTAGAAATTTTGAGACCAGTCGTTAATTAGCACTGCAAAATCTGATGTTAACAATAAGTTCCATATTAGCCAGCTTCGTAATGCAATTAATACATTAAGTACTAATTGTTAACTTTTTTGCATTACTTTATTGACTATATTTGTCATGTGTTGATCAAAAAGTTCAAGTATGTCCATTGTCCTTGTCTTAGTTATTATGAGACATTGTTCTTTCAAGTTATAAAAAGAGCTAGTCTATTTTTGCTTGTGTATTAATCAACATAGTTTATTACAACTCTTGTTACATAATTAAGTAAGGAAATCACAAAACTAATATATTTTTTCAATATTACATATCAAAATTAAAAATATTGAAGAGGTTCTGTTCTATTTGTTGTTAGATGCAATAGCTTGTTGGGACAGCAGACATCGTTGCAAATTATAAATTTCATCATCAAGGAAATCCAATAAGGTTACAGTTAATTTTTATGATTACAGGCCTTTTAAGATTATTTTTTTATAATATTATTTATGACAGTGCTCAAAAACGTATTCCATATTTATTATATCAGCGTCTTTCCCCATTTTTTATGGTATCTACCATATATCAATTTACCATTTACCCTTTAGTTTTTGTATATTCAAATATCTTTAAAACCTTTTATAATACTCGTATACTATTGTTGATACTGAGACATGTTACACTATGAGGTGGGGGGAGGGGGTTTTTTTTAAAATATGTTATAGCTGATATTTAATAAATCAAATTCATCTTCACACCAAGTATTATGTTTATTGAGAATAAATACATTCACATATTTTTCAATCAATCTTCGTTTTATTTTACTATATTATAGTATATTAAGTTCGAATACATTTGTATAAGATTATTATTCATTGATACATATTTCGGAGCAGCCACTTCGCTATCAACATTCGAAGTGAGAAACGTCGAGCAGTATTAATAAGATGTCATAATGAACACACCAGTTGCTGGACTTTTGAGATGTCATGGTAACAAGATTATTTAAAATAATATACATACAACTGCATTTGACCTTTGGACTAAATCTACTTATATGTTAAAATATATACTACTCATTTAAATTATAGTTATTATAACTAGTTGGTAAGTGTTTATATCGGCTCTTTTTATGATTAGTGATCCACTTATTTGAACAGAATGTGTGTTGCGGCCTAAGGGTCATAAAAACTTTTAAATTTCACAATCATTTTATGTGATAAGTCCGTCGTTGGACTCGACTGTACAAATTGATTGATAGGAACGAGAGTTTTTAAAATAAAGCGTATGGAGAGATTTTTAAATATAATCAATATATATTTTTAATTAAATATTAATGTGACATGTTTAAATATCGGTCTTATACTAAAGTTTTATATTTCCCTCGTTATTAATTTATTTAGTTGCATAAGTGATATTTATTAAAAAGCCATATGCATTGAAATTACCGACTCTGCAGTCTCACGATTTTAATATGTAAATTTTAATATAAATATATTTTTTTTCAACATTTTGCATCAAAACTGGTATTTAAAGTGAATAAACCAACGAAGCCATATCAAATAATTTTTCACCGTTTACGATGGGCTATTTAAGAGATATGTACATACAATATTTTTAGTACCCAATATATATAACTTGCGGTCGACGATATGCATTAAGTCACAAAGTCGTTGGCTCTCCGGATAATAGCATCCCAATTAAGCGGCTCCGATACAAATGCTTAGTTTGTCTAGTTCGTTGCTAGTAATCGCACGGCGTAAACAAAATATATAAGATGTTTATTAGTTTATGTTCGGAAAATCCATCGTTCTTGTTTAATATCTGAAGATATAAGTAAGCCTTGTATAAACAAATTTATTTCGTATATAAGGTTTTGCGGTATATGTTAGGTTACTGAAATGAAAGTGCCGGCTAAACGAAGCATGGGAAGCTGTGATAGTGATGAAAAAAAATACGAACTGGTACCCCCAGAGGGTGGATGGGGTTATGCAGTATGTGTCGGGCTATCTGTAATTTTTGTAAGTACTTTCTTATTTATGTAAAAATATTATTATAATCATATTTTTTGAAGTCAATTTAATTTTTTTCTTAAGAAATGAAAACAAAATTTTATTATGGTAGTTTATTTCGAATTGAAAAATAGTTTTTTTTTGTTAAAAATTTATAAAATAGGTTACGCCAAAAAATATATATAATTTTTTTAGTCTATGCGATATTTGTTCTTATAATTATGAAATTACGACTTACTACGGTTTGACTGGAATTATTCCATATGATGGAAATATGTAAAAAAATCTAAGTCACGCATATTTTTGCTGATATATTTTTCTGCTGAATAAAGCAACCTTGATATTGCGTAGACTATGGATTTATTTGCAATAGTTTAGTAATAAAGAGTATGCACTTCTTTATACGTCGATATATTTTCATAATTATTTGTACATTAATAAAATTCAGTGAAGTTGTTAAAAATAAACTGGAAAAATAACCTTAGTAAAATATTTTTTTATTAATAAAAACTCCAAAATAAGTATTATAAACATTAATTATTGAAAGTATACTAATAATATTTAAAATATATTAACACAATTTGGATTAATGACTAAAAGCTGTCAAGAAAATCTATGTTTCTATTTATATTTTTTTTTTCCATAAGCCATAATCCGTGTTTTTTATACAGAATTATTGATAGTGTCAAATCTAATGTCAAAAAAAAAAACGTTTGTAAGGGCTGTTTTTATGGTTTTCCCAGTAATGAATCAATTTTTTTAGTGAACCTCCAAATTTATTAATGATCATATATTAGGAATGCAATCCATTTTTATATTTAGAAGAAATATTTAGTTGTGTGTGACATTATTTGAGCCTTTGCCACAGAAATATGAGAATGTTATATAAAACGCGTTTCACTTACAAACAGACGTAACTGTTATTGCTGTTGGATGACTTTATCATCCAAGGCGAATAAAATAAAAAATATTTATTTTATCATAGTTTCCATAAAATTTATTTAACTATCATTTATTTATATACTCTTTTTTTTATAAATACATACGTATGACAATTAATCTAAACTGAGATCTTTTATTGGTTTTTATAAAAAAAAAATCTTTGAAAAAAAAAAAATCTACATTTTTTTTTTTTTTTTTGTTTTTATGCATATACTTATGTCTTAATAATTGTTTCCGCTTGATTATGATGTTTCTATCTATATTTTATAACCAGTCCTGCATATGGGAATATCTTATAATGACAAGCAATACGATAGCATTAACCGAGAATTATTCCATATCATCGAATAAAATCAAATGTATTCAATAAAATTGTAATGCCTTCTTAGTTTATGAGGAAATCGTGTACTTACATAATAGATACATTATTTGGAATCGCATAAAAACCTTGAAAAAGTTCTGGTGTTCTTAAGAATAGTAAGAAAATACTAGATTTTAATTTCGTCTTAAAAGCAAATATTCTCATTCATAAGAATTGTATGATGAAAGATGATTTAATAACTTAATAGTAATATTAAAAAACTTTAAGAATTTTTGTCAGTGTGCATTCATAATCTTTTTGATAAATAAATTGCTTCGATACCTCAAACATTTAACGAAAACCGGACTATCCTGAACTATGGGAACGTGTTTCTATTTCTTCTTAACCTATTTATAATATAAAAAAAGTTTATATTTTTTTCAAATAATTCCTTTTCTTATTATACGTACATTTACACGTAATTATAATAAAATTTAAAAATAAATATTGTACTTAAACGATCCCAGTAATTTATTTATAAATACAATTCAAAAAAGAAAAAAAATTTGACAAAAAATGGACAGCAAGTAACATACTTTATAATTTGTACTTAACAACCGTAATTATTATAAATTCGCGTGACAATAAGTATTAAGCGAAACTTATCTTATTAAATGAAATGTAAATACTAAATATTTATTTACAATTATTAATTCAATACAAATGTACAAATAATTTTAAGAGTTCCGTATCTTAAAAAGGAGGACTTACTCTGTAAAATACTGTTACTTAACTGGGTAGATTTTTTTAACCTTTCATCTATATAATTAAAACTTGTATTTTTGAGTAAGGTTTTTTCCACGGCATCGCTCGTGAAATATTTATACTGTTGATTTGCTTCATTTTAAGAGATAAATAGTAAAGTTTTGAATTTCGTCATGTTTAAAATATGTGTCAAAAAAAGATTTGTTTACATTTTTTTATAGTTTTCTAATTTAAAATTTTATGAATATCAGCTGTAAATAGGATGGACTAAGTTATAAAGGATTAAAATATTTGAAAACCATTTTTTTTTCTTTTAATCACAAATGTTTTTAATGGAATTCTTGAAGTATTTCGCTCCATAAACTAGTATATTAAACGTGTAAGGTCTATCAGTTACGTCAAGAATCATGAAATTTGGCAATAAGAAAGTTGAGGTGCCACAAAGTAAACCACATTCTTTTTTCAACTTGTTTAATAGTATGGTTAAAATCTTGCAACACATTTTTTAATGGTTATTTCATAATGGTTTAATTGAATTTAAATTGCATTAAAATTTCCAATAGATAATACATAGAAACATTTAAGTAAGAAAGGAAGAAAATAAATAAAGTAATTCTAAATTCATAAATAAAATAAAATATTTTTTTATACTTTCATAATATTTTGTTCATTAAACTTTGTTTTCTGTCCCTTGGTAAACAGATCAAAGTAACATTAATGACATATTTTTTTTATGGCTCAATCATGTAATATAGTAACTAATTAGGAAACTATTAAAGGTTAAAAACATTAAGGTTCTTCAACCTTCAAACGTGCAGTCGTCATCCATAGCAATGTAGGAAGTAAAACGATTTTTAAAAACATACCAATAAAATTAAACCTTACAGCTGTTGATATTATGTAACAAATAAATCGAATGTTTTTAAAACTACATGCCTTTATAAGGGATTTCTTCTCGAAACAATTTAATTGATAATAATATAAATATACAAGAAAACTTACTGGTGTTACCTCGAAGATATTGTTAATTCAAAACATATATGTACATACTTACTTACATACTTCTACTCACCTTTATATTTCATTTTTTTTATTTATATTTTGTATAGATCAAATGTATAGATCCATTTATTTCGTCGTCATGGATAAACTATATTTAGAAGAAGAATAAGAAAATTAAAGTAAAGGTATAATTTTGTTAAAATCTAGATAATATTTAAAATGAAATTAGATGCGCACTTTGTACCACTTAGTCTTCAAAAAATTTGAATTCTATCAATTATGTATACAATACGCATCAAAGCACTTAAATCACAATACCTAATGAAATTTGGTAACCTTGAGAAAGAACATAGGATAGTTTTTATAACTTTTATATATGAAATCATATTTTGCGGGCGGAAACTAATTGTACTCATATTTTTTGTACTACAAACTCTCAATGGTATAAAATTTGATAGAACAGTAATAAATTCAAATTAGATTTTGGTAGAAAAACGCTACTTAAACGACATTTACACGTGAGATAACAAGTCTCAACGGAATATTTCTGAATAATTATGTGGATTAATGAAATCTATCGCTTGCCATAGATCAGTCGAAGATAACATAATGAGCAAGTTTTAAATCAACGACTATGTTACTATGGCTTAAAAATTTATGTTACCATGGCTTAATTTTTTTAAACAATTTTTTATTTTGGGTACGTCAAAAAGGGATTCATTCACTTTCGCTTGGGGACCTGTATCGTATTTCTCATATTTGACACAATTTTAAATAATCGATTGCAAAATCAACCGATACTTTGTATTTTATTTGCAAGATTGTATTATACGAATAGAAAAAACTTAAACCATGTAGTCAACTATTTCGTAGTTTTAAAAAAAAGAGTATTTTCGATCAATCGAAATTGAATAGAGATAACATTACCAATATACTTGTAGATAAGCTATTTTTAGATTAACATCACAATATTTAATCCGACAACATTTAAAGAATTGCAAAATACGAGTAGTTAATATAAATGTCATGTAAATATGTAGAACAGCATTTTATCTCTTTAAATAACAAGCCAAGATGAATATAAAAATGATACGATTCATTAGCAATTCCATTTCGAATTTAGAATTCTTGAAGTTGCAAGAAGCAATTCATACTGTATTTTTACGCTTATTTTACTGAGTGAGCATAAGAATATAATGCAAATATTAACAAAATGATTCTTGTATGAAAACAATTAAAGCGGTTTTTGGTTATATCAAATAGAAATTATGAAAACGCTGTTTGATTCAAATAACTACAGATTTTAAACAGTCACGACATAAAAATTTTTAATTGAGACAGTTCTGTTTGTATTCTATTTCCTTTTTTCACAGTTATTCTCTTCATTGTCTTGTAAAGGTACGAGAGAATTCCAAGTATTTTATCTATTTTAACATTGTTATAATGTATTTTTACGTTTCGTCACTTTAACCTTATTACTTTTGAAATGTTACAAAGAATGTCACGAATCAGCTGATGATATCTCTGACAATATTAAGATGTTTTCATCCAATATCCCTCTGTTTTAAAATCTTGTATTATATTAATTTTAAGCATAAATCGTTTATATCTGGATGAATCAATATATCTTCTGGACCAAAACCTACCAAAATCTTGATCACATATTAACATTTTATTTACATTAAAACAGCTAATGACACGAGATTATCTTTTACCTAATTTAAGATCAAATTTGCAAATTAGATTCTATCGAAATTCGCATAGGAGAAAATGTTTTGAAAGTAGATAGATATATTCGAAATAAAAATTATTATTTTAACAATTATATATTTATAAAGATAAGAAAAACTGATAAACATTATTTAATATTCATAAAAAAATTCGTTTACAAAACGCGGTTACAGTAATATGAAGGATTTATAACACCTAATATTTTTTTCAGATCGCTGGAACAGCTCACCAGCCTGTCTTTGGTTTCATTTACAATGATTTTCTTGACGAACTTGGAGTTGGAACCGGGGCGGTAACAGTGGTCTACGGAGTTTTTCAAGTGACTGTTGCAATAGCTGGTAAGATTTGATCAAAAATTTTTCTAATCGCTAAACTGGGCGGGAGTATCAATAGTAACAGAACCAGTGAAATCCAGTTTAAAATTTTGTATATCAAGGGCCTTTACAAATTTTAGTTTGAAACATAAAAACAGAATAAAAGCATTTTGTTATGATACATATACAGGGTGACTGGTGAATTACTATCGATACTTGAGGACGTGATATTTGGCGATCATATATGACAAAATAACAATTAATATAACATAAATATTAATAAACTTCTAAGTAAAGTTAACCAAAAGTTATGTAATTAATTACGCATCGTGTGAACACCCTACAGATTAGGTATACACACAAACACACACACGCGTGCGGCGGCGTGGTGTTGTATCAGTACGCCGCCGCACGCGTCCACACTTGGAACACTTGGAACGTGTCCACACTTTATTTATTTATATGGAAATTTGGTCAAAAAAAAGTACCTATTTTTTTACATAATTCGAATGAGAATCATGTACCGAGTATTCTCCTTAAATATTGATAGTAATTCACCAGTCACCCTGTATAAGTATAATTTTCAAATACCAAATTTCTCCCTTAAGTCTAGGTTAAAAATCTATCTATATCCTATCTAGAGTGTAATCTATGTATATCTACATATAAGTACTATCTTGTAACTTCCAGAATTTTTGGTTTCATAATAATGAGAGCTGTATTCTGTATTTATATTTATTTTTAACTTGACAATTGCATTATTGTTGTAATTATAAATTTAATGTGTGCTTATAACAGCAAGAAATATGTACAGTTATTTTAAATTAACGTTCGGAAAGTATAGCAGAAAAAAAAATAATATATGAAGAGTATGTCTTGTCTTAATAGCTCTCGACCTATATGATGTATTGAATGAAAAACAATTGAAATCAATGATTACGGAACATCTATTAAAATCACCGTTTAATTAATGAATGTGTCGTAAAATTTTTCAATTTAACCTTTACCCTTGAAAATATTCGTTCGTAAACTTGTCTATCGTGTATCTATCCATTTTAACTACGTTAATAAAACTTGACAAATCATAGTACATACAAACGTAGAATTATCTAACACACTTAATCTATTTTAAACTGGAAATACAGTTGGCAACATAGTACATAGTTGCGGTATTTAAGCGCCTAGCAATACCTTAACCTATTATTTACTAAATAATTATATGGGTCATTTTATAAATACGTTATCTGTATAGTAAAATATACAGTCATTTTCTTAAAACATATATCTTATATGATAAACAAACAAAATAATTTGTTACACAATTAAAATAATGTCAACAATTTAATTATTGTTTTATACTTAGTTATGTTTGTAAATTAAAAGACCAATTAATGAATTAGAGAAATTATTAAATATTTATTCAAGTATTTATTACAGTTTGAAAAAACTTTCCTACGTGATGTTATTTAAAAGAAAATAGTTGTTGGCAAAGTTGCGTGTGCAATTATAGTCGCAATTGTAATTGGTTTTAACCAGAAGTTTTTCATTATTTTAATATATAATTATCTATTTAACGACATAGGATAGTCAAGTATTGGTATTCTGTAAATATTATTTTCATTACCTTTATATTTAATATGTAAGTAGCACTGTAATATAATTTTTTAAATTGCCTATTGCACAATATTACGAAACAAGTGAGCCGTCATCGAAATAACTTTTAATATTTGAAACAAAAACTAGTTTTGTTTTTACAAGTTTTTGTTACTTAAGAACCATTCAAAAATCGTTGTTAACATAGTTGATATTGTATAACTATAAATTATTATAAAATTATTCAATATTATATTAAAAATTATAACTGGTGTCACAAATTATGAATTAATTGAAATATTTGTGTTCACTTCTTTTATTACTTCCTTAGTTATTTTTTTTCAATATATATTTGTTAATGATATAGTAATCAGTAAACAGTAAATCAATTTGAAAATAATGGTGTTAAGCTTTAATCCGAATACCTATCTTTTGTCTAATGGAATTTCTCTGTCCATGTTGACCGCGGGAATCCCCGCTTTATCATCCCCTAACAAGATTATTTGCACCAACATTCATGTTTCCAAGGTTACTCTAGTACAATGTTCCTAAAATTTGCGTACACTGATTCTGTTGCATTACTTAGATAGTGAATTCCGATGTCAGTCGTGGTGTGAATCATAGTTTTATAACCTTCCCCTAAATATTTTTTCGTTAATGTAGATTGTATGCAAGACTTAAGTATGATTAAGTATAATTCGAAGGATTACTTACAAAAAACACAGCCACTTAACCCGCGTTTTTGTTCGAATAAAGATATGACACTAAGTTATTTTATTGGTAATGAAACATTGTATATATAGATATCTATTATTTGTTCTTTTGTTTTAATTATAAGTAATCTGATATGATGATTTATTACGACCATCTATATTCAATTTATGGCATAGATGATACAAATAATACCCATGTATGAAAGATTATAGACATGATTTAACATTGTTTTCCATGTATCATCTATTGTGTAATATAAAGGATATTATATAATAGATTGTTATTAAAGGAATATATATACATAAAAATTAATGTACTTGTGGTAGAGAAATATTAGCATATAATATTTGTATTAAATATTATAAAGATGGTATAAAATAAAATATGAATCTGATTTATATCTCTTAATCGTTAACTTATGTATATGTTGCGGAGTAATTTATAATAATTTTAAAACTAGTGAAATACCGAAACAGATATGTGTATATAATGTATTTAAATTATTTTATTTTAAACTAGTTTTTGCCCGCGACTTCGTTCGCGTTCATTTCGTCATTAGTAATATAGGTAAAGCTGACCGGGCAAACTCTATTCCGTCTTAAATAACCAGGTATTGGTATTTATTAAATTTCTACTGTTTCAATCGAACAGAATGATTGACATATTAGTTAGTTGTCAAGTGTAATGTCAAAAAATCGTTTGTATGGGAAATAGAAAAGGGCTGTTTTTAGGGTTTTCCCGGCAATTATTCCAATTTTTCTCACCTTTTAAACCTTCCCCGAACTTCCAGGAGTATTTCAAAACTAAAATTAGCCAAATCGGTTCAGTCGTTCTCGAGTTTTAGCGAGACTAAGGAACAGCAATCCATTTTTATATATATAGAAGATAATTATATATTCTTTTGTTTCAGGTTTTACAGCGAATATAGTCTTGAAGAGGCTATCACTACGCCAGGTCGGTCTAATAGGAGCGTCAGTATACACTCTTGCATCATTCCTAGCGATATTCGTTCAATCTACAACACAATTAATTATAACAAACGGGTTCCTCCAAGGTTTAGGAATGGGTCTTCTCATTCCCGTGTCGTATACCAGTTTCAACAGTTACTTTACAAAGAAAAAAGTCCTCTATTTAAGTCTCTGTAAGGCTTCTATTGGCTTAATAACCATGATATACCCATTGTTTATAAAATATACGATGAAAGAATATGGGTTTAGGGGGACAGTTGCGATTTTGTGTGCGATTTCATCACACAGTATCTTCGGTGCAATAGTACTGCAACCAGTGCAATGGCATATGGTCAAACGAATGAAGTCCTGCGAGAAAATAGTCTGTAAGTACAGTAAATTAAGGTCTCAAATTTAATGACTTTATTCTGAAGTACCTACTTATGTATACAATCCATATAACTTGCAGTAATTCCACCAACACCTGCTTCTGAGGAAGATGATAGTAAGTTTGACTTCATGGGAACCAACTTGATCAATCAGAACACACGATCAGCTCAAAATATTTATTCCAAAGTTCACAATAACCAGCAGAAGGAAGCAGGACTGCTCTTTATACCAAAAATAGCTGCTTCTAGAAGACTTAGTATACCCGTAGTTTTAATACCAAGTGACGTTAAGACTGACAGCAAGTTTAATTCAAATGATAAATTTTATATAGAAAATTTATACAAAGCAGCATCAATAACTAGTTTGGGCAACTTCGTTGAACCCATGCCGATAATAAAAAATAAAGAGGGCAAGTGGTAAGTAAGATAAAATTAATCATTAAGATTTCAATACATACTATGTTTAATATCTATTATTGATCACATAAATTAATTGAATTGTAAGAATAATGTTATTGTTATCTCGATTGTTTTCCTTGTATATAAAATAAAAGTAAGTTTTGCCTCTAACTTGATGGTGGTAAAAATATATTTCAATGTATTGTAAATTGTGTCATTATTTTCATCTTCGCTTTTTCTTTAGGCAAACAGTAGCTGAATATTTAGACCTAACCCTCCTCAAGGATTTGGTTTACGACAACATTATAGTAGGAATGGCACTCACATTCTTTGCTGATCTGACGTTCTTCACGTTAGAGCCGCTCTTCTTGGATAAAAATAATCTTTCAAGGGTAAGCATAATACAAAATAGTTCAAATTATTAAACATAAGACTTGGTTTATACTAAGTAAAAGGTGTTTTTAGTAACTATATAAACAGTTCTGCTTTAACATTATGTTATGAACTTATGTAGACCTTGTAAGTAACGGTGGATGACACATTAACTAAAACTGGTTCTAATTAAGGCAACGAAACAAAAGCTATAAGTCGTAAAAGATAAAAACGCCAACCGTTACACTTTTTGTCGATTTTTTTTATAAATCCCAACAACTCCTACCTTTTTAGATACCTTTATATAAAAAAGTGATTGGACGTATGTTTATGGGAACAAAAACTATCGCTTGTTTTATTTATAGAACAAATAGCAGTAAATATTACCTTATTTCAATAGATAGAATATATATTTAACTTTTTACATGTCAATTATTTGTATATCACTCATTAATTGCAAAGAATAAATGTAACTGCTGTCTATAAATAACTTCTTTATTTAATACTCGTACCAATAAAATAAAGGAAAAAATTCAATGAAAGATTATTTATAAATATAATTTTACGTTTCCGTCTCTTTTCCATATTTAAACATTGTGTATAAACGGGAAGTTTGTGCATTACAATCTTGATTTACAAACAAGTTCTCAAAAATTTTAAGGAAATGAGCAAAGTCCGCTTTTTATATTGTATATTGTCTTTTATCCATTACGGATATTTCATTTTTGAGCAAAAGAAATTTCTTAAAATATTTTTGTCTACGTTTGTGATACTTAAAAGTTAAAAAAACATTACTTTGTTTCATATTATAAAATCCAAATGTTATCATATGAATACACGAGTAAGATGACATAAGAATGTCATAAACGTAATTTTTCCATTAAAATATATCTGCGTTCTTCTACATACAAATGATCCTTATTATTTTTATTGCGTACCCAAGCTGGGATCTAAGGACGAGTTTGCACTGAAAGTATAAAAGCCGTTTCTCTTTATATTTTTCTTTCTTAAGACAAAGGTGATCGTCCTTGACAAAATGTGCTCATACGTTTGACGTCACTAGTTCGACATGCCACATTAATTCTCCTTCACCGATTATACTGGCACTTGTGAGGCACTTAATATACATATTAATCATATGCTAAAAATGCCTTACATCATTTCGAAAAACTATTCTTAATATATACTGTTTGATCGATATGAATAAAAACAGAGCTAAGAACCACCGCAACAAGTTTTCAAATGAAAAAACCGCATCGTAATCGGGCGATTTGTTTGAGAGCTACGGTGACATAGATTTACACACACACACACGCACACATACAAACATGTAGACATTGACGTAAAACAAAAGTCAAAAAGCTATGGTATTTAATAATTATATCAATAAAATATGTTTTCTTTGCATATAACAAAAACATAAAATATATTGTATGTAGTATATATAATAAAAAATTTCGTAATATGTTTTAAAAATACTATTTATTTTAGGGGGAGATAGCAAATATTATAGCTCTAGGAGGTGCAACTGATATGGTGTCGAGATTATTGCTGGGAGTTTTTCGGACAGTTTTTCAGAATGAACAGTCGTTACATGTTCTACGCTGGTGCTCTTTTTACTGCAATATTTAGATTCGGTAAGAAATCACTATCATTTAAATACATCTAAAAAATATTTTTACAATCTTGGGTCGTTTCTTACTGAAATGGCTTAGTAATTAGTACCAAACAGTTTCTTAGTTATATTCTTAGTTATATATTCTGATAGTTAAATATATTTTCTACGAGTATTTGTGCATTTATTTGTAAAGTAAGATATATTATTAGACGTCTCAATTTTATCCCAGTTTCATTCCCAGCATTTCTTTTCTAACTTCAGATTTATTTCTTGTTGCTTATTTTTTCCTCCAAGTTTGCTTCACTATCCCGTATTTCACAACTAGGTCACCAAGTTTAACATCTCGATTGATTTCAAGTCAAAATAATTAATACTAGACGTAGTAGATAGGATTAATGTATATTTTATATTTCAGTATTTGTCCAATTCACGACGTATCTGCCTCTACTGATATTGACTGGTATCTTGGGGGCTTTAAGATCTCTGGTTCACATTGCCCAACCTATTGTCATGGCTGAGCATGTACCAATAGAGAGGTACCCACCAGCTTACGGCCTGTACATGCTTCTGGCAGGAGCTATTAGCCTCAGTGTTGGTCCAATGATAGGTGAGTGATAAAATTCAAACAATGTTATGTTGCTCATATCGATAAGAAATTCAGAAATATAAAAAAAATGCTGTTACCTAATATATAATTTTTTTGTTAACGTTCCAAATTAGAAAAAACCTGGAAAGAAATTAATTGCTAACTCTCATATTAATTTTTGTAAAAGTTTGGCTGAAATGATGAACATTATTTTAGTGAAACTTTCCAAGAGCGTTGAGAAAGTTATAAGACTTTGGACAAAGTTCTCGATTAATATTAAAGAGCTCGCTAAACATTCTGAAGGCAAACGCAACATTTGAATCTGCCCAATTATATTATCTTACAGCTTGCTGAACGATAACAAAATTTTTTTTACGTGAATCTACTTTATAATTAGTCTTATTTTATCTTTTCATACTTTAATTTAAAAAGGATTAGGACTAATTTAGATTTCAATTAAGTAAGGTAATTAGTAAAAGGAAAGATTAATAAGTTCTGCAACGCCGTAGTACGTTTTTTCGAACGTTGGTTTGGTGAGTTTTTAAATTAAATTCTCAAATTTTCATTTCAGGTTTTATACGTGATTATACAGGAAGTTATGTAATAGCTTTCAGTTTATTAGCTATATGCAATCTCTGTTGCGTCATACCTTGGACGATAGAAGCCATCATTGTAACAGTGAAACGAAGAAAAGAGCACCAACAGACATGAGGTTACCTTGATGTACCAATTGAATTCTATAAGATTGTCACTCAACGCGCACAGGGATCTTAACTATCCCTTTCCAAAGAAGTTAGTCGCGTTGTGATAAAAAGACAAATATAATTTAATATTAGTTTTAAATATTTCATGCATATGAGAAAATTTTATTTTTCTGATATAATAATATATATATATTTTATATATCTAGATTTTTTAAAGTTATCGTGGGAATTGTTTTTTCAATCAAATGCAAAGTATCAATTTACAGCAACAAAAAAAAAACTATAAAATGTTTATTAACTTATTAGTAAATATTTAGAAACATTATATTTAAGCAATAAATTATATAAATGTGAATAAAACTGTTTTAATTAAGGCAGATTATTATAATATATGCAAAACCATACTGCAAAAAAAGCGCCTTTTCATTAAAAAAATATTAAATACATCCATAGACTTCATGAATACTTAAATAACGTAGGCGCATATATAATAAATTATGTACTATAATGTTTTCAACATGTCCTATATATGTTTTTATGGGAATTTACATATCAAGTTCATAATACTCATGTTAAATGTAAGTTGCTATGTTTATTTGTGATTTGTTATGACAGACATATTCTCTGTGAGGAATGTGAATAAACGAATGGAACAAAATGTTTTTTTAATTAAACCACTTCTCATTTTTATCGTATATTCAGGTTATAAGATCATATTGATTAATTTAGAGAGCTTTTTATTGGTATAATATGTAATTTCTTAATTTAGAGATGAGGCTTATGTTTAATTTATGATACCGGCTTTATCTAATATGACTATGACCTTGCTGGGATATAATACATAGAGATAAAATTATGACGAATGAATGAGAATATTGTAAATTACAAAGGATGCTGTGACAAACAAACGGATTTCTTAGTTTGAAGTATGACTTTAGTTATGTGTTTTGTTTGAAATGTTGTGCCATTGTTACACAGCACGTCGAGAGGAAAGTTTTTAACTTATATACATGTATACGTATGTAGCCATATTCTCTTAGTTGCATCTTTGTATAATAGTTAAAAATATAACAAATGCACTGTCAAGAACAAAACGTCGTACTTTGTTCTAGAAGTCTAAACACTATGACTATAGAAACATTGAATACTTAAAATCTATTGTTTAATGATGGAAATACCTATTATCTTTATAGCTCAGCACTATATAAACGATTGCAAAGATATTTAATTATGATATTAATACGATATCGCTAGCGAGATAATAGTGTACAACAATTTTTAGAATACATTCGTTTGGATAACGTGAACAAAGACGCATAACAGTACTTTCGTAATCGGTTCAAGTTAATAGAGTGTCCCTTTATCTATTTCCGTCCTTTATGTATACTAGTTCAGTGCTATCGTGCTCTTTGATCGCCACAAACGAACCTTCCTATTTATTAAAATGTCTGGATCACAAAGAAATACCAAAATCAGGAACGATAGATGGAAATATTTCGTCTGCTTTGGGATGATTGTCATATTTGTAAGTACATATTTTAATACTTTATAATACATTTTTAAGATAAGAAGATATAATATATGTAAATAATAAACAGTGAACACTTAAACATTCCTGACAATGATTTTACTCGTAAGTGATATTTTAAAAACTTGTTTGTTTATTTTTTTTATTGTTGTATGTGACATCCTTTTGATATTCTCTTTTAAAGTTATTTAAATGTCTTAATGGACTATTCGGTTTTTACTGACATTTAGCTTCGTTGCGTTGATCAAATATTTATTAGCTCTAATAAATAATTTAAATTTTAAAACATAACTGATATATTAATGTGAAAATAAGAAAATATTACAGTTAATAAATTCTATCATATTTTTAGCATGTCTCAAAGTTACCGAGCAACAATGCTCAATAATTTATTCAAGTCCAAGTCCGATGTATTCCATAAATCTTCTCCGTGTATCATCAATGTTCGCATGAGAGATTCGGTGTGGTATATTTTTAACTTTATACAGGTAGTAAACATAGATTTCTTTTCAGATAGCTGGAATCGGCCAAGTCAACTCATTTGGTCTCATATTCAGAGATTTTATCATCGAAACTAATTCTAGTGCCAAATGGATAGCAACTGCGCATGGATTTTTTTCCATAATGTTGGCTATTGGAGGTCATAATTTTTATACTTAAATTATACTTTCTAAGATCGAACGATGACATAAAACAACCAATACTCTAATAATAGTAATTTCAGTATAAAACATCAAAACTGAATCTAAAAACCAATCGAGTCGAATTTTTTTAATTAAAAAGATTTTTCAATTAAAACCTTTAAATTCTTCAACCTAAAATAGATATAGCAAAATTGTACTAACCTTTTACAATAATTACTTTCAGGTTTGATCCTAAATGTTATGGGTAAAAAATATTCCCTCAGATCTGTGGGATTTATTGGCGCACTGTTAACTTCTTTGGGTTCATTTTTAACAGTATTCATAAATAATACAAATCAAATTCCTTTAACATTCGGAATTCTTCAAGGAATCGGTTTTCGGGATGATTGCCCCCGTTTGCTATTCAACGTTCAACCATTATTTCACAAAGGACAGAACACGAGCTATGAGTTTGATAAAAGCTATTCAAGGAATAATTTTGATTTGGTATCCTCAAGTCGTAAAAATTTTGCTATCATTCTACGGGTTCAGATCAACCTTGTTGATGATAACTGGAATAACTTTACATACTTTTCCTGGAATCGCAATTATGAACACTAATCAAAGCATCCGAAAAAAACAACCAGCAAGTATTTTTATTTCAATACATTATTATCGTTTATTTTAAACTGAAATTGTTATCTTCTGATGTATTCCTTTGCAGATTGTAACAATGGCAATAAAATAAAAAGGAGAGAGGATGTTGGTTTAATTTCTAATCCAGAAATAGTGGACAGAGATGTAAATGGAACTAAAGAAAATAAGAAGACAAATCGCAGTTTTGGGTATTACTAGATAACATAATATGTAATTAGACCTATTACTTGAAAACAAATATTTAATAAAATGATATTATTTTCAGTAACATCATTCTGGAAGTCTTAAACGTTAAAATACTGAAAGACCCGATTTTCTGCAATATCAGTATCGGCCAAAGTTTTGTAAATTTTTCTGATTTGCTTTTCTTCATTCTGGAACCGATGCTTTTATATCAATACGGCTTTGATACGGTTGGTTTCCTGATTAATTATGGCCCTTCATATTGATTTTTTATGCTATCTTCATAATTTTCTGACTATTACAGAATCAAGTAGCAGCCTGCATATCTATAAGCGCGGGAGCGGACGTAGCAGGTCGCTTTGCGTTGGCCGTTATAAGCAGTATGATGTCTGTAAATACCAGGTTACTTTTTTTCATCACCACACTCCTCACGCTTCTTTTCCGAATTTGTAAGTATCATATTTTTGTAAGTAACCCTCCAAGGAAAATCTTTCTAAAGAAAATCATTGAATATTATGTCTTACTTTTAAAGATCTTTGAAAAAAATATTTGACTATCTGTCAATCTTCTATCTTCTATATATATAAAAATGGATTGCTGTTCCTTAGTCTCGCTAAAACTCGAGAACAGCTGAACATCTCATCTTAGTCTTGAAAGATCAGGGAAGGTTAAAAGCTGAAAAAAATTATTCATCACTGGGAAAACCATAAAAACAGTACAAACGTTTTTTTTTGACATTAGATTTGACAACTAACTAATATGTCAATCATTCTGTCGCACTTCAAAACACGGAGTTTTATTTACATCTAAATAAAAAAACGTAATAGACATTTTTGATTATTACGAAGTTCGCCAGGTCTTCTAGTGAACTATAATGTTTCATCTATAATATACTTTAATTAAAGATATCCAAGAATTTCGCTAGTATTCATTTAAACGAAGCTAATATTTTCGGATTACTACTTGGATTTTATTATTTTAAAAAAAATTACACACTCCCCACTTTTCGGTTACTTTGCAGCAACCGTGAGCAAGGGCAGAAGAGTATTTAATTTTTATTAAAATTATTTTGCAGTCATATTGCAAGTTAGACAATTCATATGGGTTTCGTTATTGACCGGTTTACTTGGTGTACTGCGGGCATGGCTACATGTATCTAGTCCCCTGGTAATATCTGATCACATACCACACGAGGACTTTACAGCAGCATATGCGGTTTTCATGCTTAGTACTGGTATTGTGAATGCTGTTACATCACCAATAATAGGTATGAATTGAACTATAAATACAATTTTTGTGGACTTTGAAGTTGCTTTCATGACATGGTCTGATTTAACTGAAATCGCGTTTGAAGTTAGTTTTTTCTGAGTTTCATGTTTATTATGCTGTTTGACAAAAATGTGCGACATTAGTAAAGCTACAGTTTTAATCTAGGATAGCTCTGGACCAGAAAATTAAACGTCCAGCTTGTGTCAGAAGTACTTCAAATGAAATAAAACTTGTCCCAACATTTTGAATTAAACTCTAGCAATGTGTTGAAATTTTTTGATGTCGTGTTTGACGAGTTGCAACATTTCAAAAATATATATAACTTCTAACATTTGCCTTTGCTCTCAAAAATACTTCTTACATTTTATTTAAATAGTTTTCTTTAAATATAATTTTATTTTAGTCTACGTGCATCATTCTCTGTTGACACGTACAATTATATGGTCTCGCTGAATAAATAATCAATAAAGAAATCAAATTAAGATAAATACGTTCAAAATAAACACAAAAAAGCTATTAATTTCGATATATATTTATAGATATTTTTATTAGTTATTCAAATTCAAGCTTAAATTTAGTTGAGTTATAGATATCTTGAAATTTTTGTTCAAGTAGTGTATTCAGTAGCTGATCATTTCAGTTGTCAAATACCAATTAATTTCTTTAACCTTATGTTTATACTGTATACAAACATATACTAAAACTTAAATTTACCCTATAAAAGAATAATTTCCAAATACTAAAAGT